CAATATTACTAGTAGTAGTAGTAGTAGTAGTAGTAGTAGTAGTACTAGTAGTAGATGTTGTTGTATCAAGAGAAGTGGCAGTAGCAGTAGCAGTAGTAGTAGTAGTAGTAGTAGTAGTAAATAGTAGTAGTAGTAGTAGTAGTAGTAGTAGAAGTCGTAGTAGTAGTGGCAGTAGTAGTAGTAGTAGCAGCAGCAGTAGTAGTAGTAGTCGTCGTCGTCGTAGTAGTGAACGTCATGGCCGAAGACTGCAGACTGCAGAGGCGCACAAGCACCAAAGCAAGATACATCACACTCGCACGACCACCGCAGGTCCAGTGCAGGAGACAATGCTCAAGCCAGAATGGGCGCACAACGCATTCAAATCGCATGTTGCACATAGCAAAATAGTTGTTGCACTTTGAGTTGTAATTGTAGTCGTGGCAGGAGCTGTAATTGTAGCTGTAGCAGTGGTAGTTGCTGTAGTAGTAGTAGTAGTAGTAGTTGTTGTTGTTGTGGTGGTAGTGGTAGTGGTAGTCGTAGTAGTCGTCGTAGTAGTGAATACGAAACGGTCCGTCACGGAGAGTCTCGTAATACCAGCCATTTCGCGTGTCCGACAAACACGAAGCACGCTACATACCGTAAATACCAGAATTTTCGAGCTTTCAGACCCCCTCATCACGAGAAAACACAAAACAGACAAAAGCGGGCATTTTGGACCCCAGTGACCCAAAATACCGACGAAGGAGCAAAGCGTACAGAGACAACGAAAACTGCTCAAAGCCATGTAAGTTGACCGAGGTCCAATGGTGACCAGGAGGACGATTCGAGGACGCATCAGGGTGATAAACACGACGGGCCGCAGATCTGTTCGGGCATTTTGGTTCTCAGTTTTGCCATCGACACTATCGAGGAACTTGGTCCTGTGCAGTCAAACGGGCGGTGCAACCAATCAACGGAAACATGCAGAAAGTGTCGTAGATACATGTAAAAACCGAACATGAGGAAGATTGCGAAAGTGCTATAATTCGCCGTGCATGTTCAGAGGCAGAGGGATGTTCCTAATCACCCGCCCCTTCCCCACCCCATCCACCCCAACGATAAGTGCAACACCTTCTGCGGCGGCGACAAGTAGGCGATTTGGGATCAGCCCCTAGCCCTAGCTTGCAGCCTTCGCACAGCAAAGCGGCCGAGCACTGTTGGATACAAATCTGAGGTCGGCGCAGAGCTTTCCATGGAGGCCAGGACGCGCTTTTTTAAGTTGACATGAACAGAACAATGCATCGCTGATGCTACGCAGAGCGTCTTTATGCTTTTCAAGTTTTGTTTGTGACGTGGATCTCTTCGAGCCAACCGGACAAAATATGCCGCTGTATGTGTAACCACACCATGGCGTGCGTGCCAGAAGGAGGCGCCAGGAACCTTGAAAACAAGACTAGGGAGATCGCGGGAACGCGAGAATGAGCCTACAGAAACCTGATGGTGCACACTTTGCACATTCCACCTTTACAGGAGCTGTCAGGACTTGTTGTCTATCGCAGCTCAACACCATTTCGTGTTCGCAGGATAACCGCACAGACTGGCCACCACGCAGAATTCGCCAAGCAGACCGCGATTGAATGCTCGGACGCTTGGCATGACCTTGCATCCCGAAACTTCTCACATCCAGATGCACGTTGATGCAACATCAAGACTGCAGTGCTGCCCATACTGCGGCCAACAAGGACGCTGTCAAACATCGTGGCTTCGGCCTGCTCTCCCGGTTTGAAAGCCCACAACATGGTTGTTGCAATTGCTCTGCCGAGGCAAAAAAAACTCTGCAAAAGTCACAAGTTGATTTATCGCATCCTGCCGAACGCCGCCTGTAGGTTGAAAAGTTCAATATGAGAGGCTCTGCGAAGAGTTCATGCTCGGAGATCTTTTGCGTAACAGCTTGTTGTTGGACAGGTGTTGGCAGCCTTTGACCAACATGCAACGCAGCGATAAACGCTTTACATTTCTGCTGCAGCTTCTGTTCCAAGTTATCGGTACCCGCTGCAGCAGCTAAACAAGCACACTGTCGCTCTTGCTGTAGAGCTTCAGAGAAAACCTTCTGAACGACTTGGCTTCATCGCGTTCATCGCACTTGCAAGGAGAAGTCCATCGGCAGAAGGTCCCTTAGTTCAATGGCTCTCTCTCTGGGTAACTGAAGGTATTTGTTGATGTGTCTTGTTTGTGCATGGTCAGCCTTGCCTGCCTCTCCTTCGCCGGACGCAACAACAAATCGAGTGCCATTTATGCCAGTTCAGGCATGGTCAGGATTCCGTGCAGGATGACTCAGTGAAGCTTCAGTAGTAGGAACCTCTCTAGAGAAAGGAAGTACATTCGGTGGCTTTGCAACGGGCCTGGAGCAATGCTGACAGGGTGCGCTCTGACGAAAGTCCAGCGTCTGGGTCCTCTTCCGTCTCGCTCTACTGTTGAGCATTCTCTGCTGATCAGATAAAGCCTCATGGCAGCACCCAATCAAGCGAAACCCTGTGCGAGTATGGGTGGGGTATACAATATCAGACTAAACAGCGTTGAATTTCATGCCGATAATTGCACTCAAAGCATGCGGCTCGCCTCCTGAATGCGTTGCTCAGCAAACCGGTCCGAACGCTGCGCACTGACAAGCTCGTCAGCTTGCTCCTGTGGGGGCTTCGTTCTTAGAACTTGTATAGGGCCCACCTACATCCGCCATGTCCTTCTTTAGCATTTCAAGCTTCTTCTGCTCCTTCTTTGCAAGCTGCTCCTCGAGCAAATTTTGACACCCACCTTCACCACATACTGCCCCGCTCGATGCTCCTTTTTCCCGTCTACTCAAGTACAGATTCATGGTTGTGCAAACTCATCTGAGCAGGTTCAATCTTGGATGGAGACATCCCCGGTGCCGACGTGAAAAACTCCAAGCGATCTCACAGCCCTCCTAACACATCGAACACTGATTGGACCTGGGACTGGCGAAGGATCGCCAGAAGTTGCTGCATAACGCCCTTGCAGGATCTGGAATGGAGGTTCGACTTCAGAAGCTGACTCTCCCGAAATCTCACAGCTCCCTCCTTCTGGGCAGATGCTTCCGGAAGGGGATGCTGCCGCAGGTAGCAGTACTCCCGCCCCACCTGGCTTGACGCCTGCACTGCCCAGCATGACCCATATGACCAAAGCTATTACCGAGATGTCGACAACTCCTTAGCGTAGAATGCGTAGACATATCACTGCCACAATGACTACTATCACAATGCATTTCAAGCTTATTGCGACCTCCTTCGCGCACAGTACTGACGCAAGGTGCAATCGCGAATCGTGCCGGACAGCTCCGACCAGGGCGGTGGGATCAGAACCTGAGAACTTCGATGCGGAGCATTGCGGAGCCGTGAGCCGAGCCAAGTGCCTCTCAAAGCTCGAGAGGTCATGCCGGCCTTGCCCAAGTCCACCAGGTTGTGCTCCATGTCCTGTGCTCTAAGTGCTACTGTGCATGACAGGGGCAAGTACAAGGGCGGGTTGCCGCCTCCTCGCCGGTGAACCTGACAGTGTGCACGACATCAGCACAGCGTAGCACAGCAGGGTGCTGCTACAAGCTCTCAGGGCGCATTCGCATTTCGCGTGCCCGACCTTGGGGATGCAGCCTTTTCATCATCCTTCATCCGAACCCAGCCTGAACCCACCTTTGCCTGTAAAACCCTGAATGTTCAATGTTCCTTTCCCACGCCTCTCGAAGCCAGCTCCTCGAACACGTGACAAGCCCAGGCTCGCGAGGAGTGTTGGAGTTGAGGTTGGGCCACTCTTCCGTTTTCGTCCCATCCCCACTTTCAGTCTAGACCTGTTTGCAGAGCTTCGGCCAACCTGCAATCAATGCAGGGCTGTGGCCACCCTTCTAACCAACCTGCCTCTGCTCAGCTGATGTCGCATAGAACAGAAGCAGAGGTCCCACATCCCGGACAAAACTAGGCTCAGGTTGACTCAGCCGCCAAATTCTAAGGTATTACTGCTAGTGAAGGGTTGAACACTCTAATTACATAACTGTTCAAACAGAACTGAACGGCCAGGGCTGGAAGCCTGGCACACCCCATCAGCGCAGCAGTGGATGTTGGTGACAATGGCGTCGTATCAGCCAAGCCAGGTGCCGCAGCATCTCGGGCAGGCGAGCTCAAACGCTTTCCGAAGCTCACTGCACCCTGGAAAAGCTTCATGTCAAGCAACTTCCCAAAGCCGCAACTCTGCGAAAACCACTGGTGTAACTTGGAGTCTTACGGCTTACGGCTGCTGCAAAGAAAAGCGTGATGTATGACTTGCCTTGAGACCCTCACAGCGCAGTATTTCGCATGATTCATAAGCAGTAACAGCGATCATCTCTCTTTCTTCCCCGAATCGCTAAACCTTCTGGCACTTTGAGCTTTGCAGCCGTTGAAACATCTTCAATCGGATGCGACAGCTACAACACAGGCACAAATGAGGGAAAAGAAGTATACTTTCTAGTCACATTGGGGAAAGCCGTATGCCATGGAGCGACCTTGCACATCCTCGTCTGACCTGCCTTCCACTGGCCAGCTGCGACACCAAGCATCCACCGCCAGAGCCAAGACCTGCTGATGCTGTGGGCCCATTCAACCAAGGGTTGAGAATGCCATGATTGGTGCAAAGGCAGCTTCCAGTTTGAGATGTGGACAGGGCTGTTGCAAACCTAAGCTGGTGCGCTTGAAGCGACTTTACGCACTGTGGCGCAAAATCTCAATCTAGACGATCCGCAACGAGTAGTGTTCGTGAGCTTTTGCTGGTGCATGAATGTGTCCTACCTACCTGCAAAGAACCTCCTGTGTCCATTCCTTAGTCTTGTTTCCGATTCGCCAAGCCTCTGGCAGCAACTGCCACGACCTGGAAATCGCACTTTGCAGGCTGAAACAAGTGTCGATGTACAGTACCCAATGCCGGGATGCCGGCTACGCCAAGGGCAACAGCTTCGGCACGTTGTGCCCTGCATGTACTTTCTGCTGTATGCAGTGCAATCAAGGTGATCATCGTTGATGTGATGCGACCCGGGCCCCTCAAGCACTGGTACCACCAGGTTTCCAACCGTCAAAGCCACCAGCAGATACCTGAACAAGCGAGGAGCAGAACCGTTGCTTGGAATTTTCGGAGATGGAACAACGTCATTTATTAGTAGTACCGCGCATTTCGACGGTGGCTTTGCCGAATGTTTGCTGACAATTCACAGCGGTCAGACACCCCTTCCGCTCGGCCTTCGACGCTCTTCCGCATGCGAGGGTTTTTGCACAGCTGGCTCTGTAGCACTCTATTCTTGTCATTTAGAGGAGCTTGCTTCAGTCTGCGAAAGCTTCGGCATTCGGGGCTTGTATGGGCCCAGGGTCCCAAGATGGACGTTCAGCTTCAGAGGATCTTCCGCGCAACCAGATCCACAAGCTTTTGCCCATACGCCGTAGAAATTCTAGAGGGCTAGTATAGTAGGCGGCTGTAGAACCTTCCGCGCAGACTTTCGAGCGCCGATGAATTCGAAAGCTTGTCGGCACTACGCCACTACATGTTAACGAAATCCTGCGTTGTAGAGGGGAGGAAAGAAAGGGCTTTTGCGGCAATGACCACGTCTCCACACAAGATGCAAGCAGGGTGTTGGCTATCCTCCTTGCATACCTCCAGTTGGAAACTGGAAGCCTGCAGCAAGTAGCTTTATACCGCCTGCACTTACCTTCGACCAAGAGCTGAGCACGTGATGCATGACGATTTGTTTAAATAGTCCAACTGTGTGTGGCTTGTGCACAGGCATCGGAAATGCACGCCTCATGTTTGAGGTGCACGACTGCATGTGCGGAGGTGGGGTTGGGACGCAGTGGGGAGGAGCTTATGGGGTCCTTCATGTCCATAACCTCACATCTTCGGATTTTTGGTTCGTTCCATTTTCAGCCAACATCAGGACTGAGGGGTGAAGGTGCGATCTGGTCTCTTTGTTTTGCGAGAATGCATGCGGGTGCAGAGTTCAGACAGCTGCCGATGAATGAGATTCGTCTGTTCTGTTGAGAGCTTTCGATATACATTAGATGTTGTTGGCATGGGCTTTCTGGTCTGCACTGCTACAGATGGGAAACCGAGCCTGGTGCTATTTTTGACCGCAGAGGAAACCAAGATATGCTAACAGCAGTCTGCATGATGGTACCACACAGTGGCCTCATGCACTGCGCAATTGCTGGCAGAAGAGCATCTGCCTCACATAAACCAGGACAGCTTGAGCTGGAAAAGTCAGCCCTGAAAACAGGACATGTTGGTTTTCAGGAAACAGGCTTTGCGAAGACGGTTGGCGTGGCTACCGCGACCGGTGGATTATTGCGAAAAAAGCCGCCTCTTCTGCACCACGCTGCGAGGTTCCCGACGATAGCATGATGCTAGCCTTCTGACAGCTGAGAAAGTAGACTGTAGACTTGCAAGATTTAGTTCGGCGAACGAATTACAAATCGCGAAATCCTGCACTGTGCCTCACAAAGACTGGTACAAAATAGTACTGACAAACTGGTGCCACCACTGAACCTTGGCAAACAACGAGTCGAGTCGCTCATCCACGTGGCTCCATCTACCGAAACTGAAGCTTGATCTTGCAGCCTGAGCCAGCGGCATTGTATCTGCACACAGTCTCCGCCTCGAACGTGCGAACCAAAAGCCTCTAACCTGCAGGCTGCAGCTGCAGTTCGCCTTCACTCGAGCAGTAAGTGAAACCTCTAAAAGCACACTGCCGACGATCCTCTGCCGGCTTCTGTCAGGCGGCACCGGACAAGAGAGAAGATATGGGAAGATGCATCAGCCCACCTCAAGGAGCAAGATGTCAGCCAACATATCCGCGACCAGCCGGTCCTTTTAAATCTAGCCAATCAGCTTTGCTAGGAGAATTGCAGCTGCAGGAAAAACTACATTGACCACATGGAGCATTCTCGATCATAAGGAGTTTGTGCCAACTTGTGTACACAGCCCGGGCACTGCTGGAACGACAACGGCTCACTGGCGACCCAAACGAGTTCCCAGCAGGGTGGATGGAACCGTGCAGGCACACAGGTAATTAAGCGGGACGAGCATGAGGAGGGGCAGGCACCATCTAATGCTGCTCACAGCCAAGCGGTGCACATCCGTCAGATGCAGGACTTAGGAACGTCCTCCCGAAAGTAGCGCAGCCCGTCGATGCCCAATCTGTCTTTGCATGCCTTTTTGCGATTGCACAGTTGTTGCAGAAGCAAGCTCTGCTGCCACTTCTGATGTGCGGCACCGTGCAAGCCTTCCATCCTTGGGCGTCTGGTACTACCGTGGCCCACGAAACAAAGCCCTGCCGGTCACAAAATGGATCCACCAGACTGGGGGCCCCTAGGCGAGCTTGCTTTGGACGCACCTTCAGCGTCATTAGCAAAGCTCCAGCAAAGGTCGTCTGACACCAGAGTCGTATGTCACCCAGGCGCCAGATCTGCGCAAGGACGGTGCACTGGTCGTCTGTCGTCGGCAGAAGAGCTACACTACAGTACACTGCAGTGCTCAGGTCGCGACTAGTCCCACGCAAAGTATCTGTCACTGGTCAGCAATTGCCACAAGGGTCGCTAGTTTAGAGTCATGAAACTGACGTGGCAAAAAAAGGACGCAATACCCGTCGTGCACAGAAAACGATGGAGAAACTTCTGCAAACTTTGGTGGCTCCACCGGCAGAATGTCCGTGATAGATTCCAGCAATAGAGACATGAAGCCGACATCCGAGCTGAGCCACCTGAAGCAACTGAACAAATCAGACAGCCATCAGTTCCGTGCGCAAACCTGTGACCTGCTGCCAATTCGATTCCAGCCTGGCATCACGTAGGGCACAGCCTGCGAAAGACAGCAGTGACCAGAAAACCATATACCATTCTTTACTGCAAAGGCAATGGGCCCATGGGCAAACTCATACACCTCGCTCGCTCTCTCCAAATCTTTTGCCGAGTATGGGGACGAGTCAGGACCCAACGCGGCAGACCCACCCGTCTCCTTGGCTGTTAACAGGGAGTGAAAAGGAGAGACAGGCACAGAGCCCCGACACAGATTATTCCCAGTGCAGAAGACCTGACAAGCGGGCGTGGATTTCAGAGTGGGAGTTCGCCTGCGAAAAATATGCCAAAACCATGTCCCAAGTGGGCTTCGTCATCTAGGGTTGTTCGCGAATGCTTGAAAGGTCTACGTCACATCGAATGGAGCTTAGGGATTTCCAATCGTCGTGCAGAGACGCCGTCGGCAAAGGAATTCTAGAGCGTTCAGTGCAGTATGGTACAGTTGACATCCTTTTGAGGGTGGGCCTTGGAAAGTGTTGCATGGGTTTCTGGATAGCCGTCAGCCCACCCGAGGCTGGAATGCAAAAGACAAGGTTTTGGCTCCACATTGTTAATTTGCCGACAGGTCCCAACCAAAGCAGTAAACCGTCTGAAGACTAGTTCCCGAATCCACAGCTTGCTCGAATTTGTCAATGTGCGTTGTACACACAACCTGTGGGTGGGGGGGCGCACATTCCCCTCCCCAGACGAACTCGCAGCGCCCTCCTCCCCAGGGGTGTAGCGTCTGTGGCTCGCTGGTTGGGACGAGGTTGCCGGCTTTTTGTGCAAGCCTGGCAAGGAACTCGAGTTTGAACAGCTTTTTCTGAAAGCGCGGCCGCAAAGTCAATCCCAAGAACGCACACATTAAGCCCTTGTAGTTCCCGGACCCCTGGTCTTCACAAGAGGCCCCGCAATGGCAGCAGACATCGGAGCTCGAGCACGCACAGCCTTCGGAATGAGCAGCAAATCCTCACAACACTGCAGCCAAGCCAAGACTCCTTGGTCCGGCAAAGTGCGATGCATGGCCAAGACAAGACTGCGGCAAGCCAGGGGACTGTGGGCGCGCGATTCGGCCATGCCCGGTGCAAGCAGCAACAAACAAAAGGAGCTGCTTACCATTCTGACATATTCCCACCGATTCAATCCAAGCCTTAAAGCCTGAAAGGATACGGTTGTCCTCAGACCTCAGACACGCCACACCGTGGGCCTTTTTGCCAACCTCAGCACTCCGAAGACATCGCCCTCAATCCCATACTGAACAAGTCGTCATCTGCGCGAGGACAGCCACCACTGCTACTACTAATGATCACCCACCACTGCACCGGGATGAGACACCTGTGGGGCCAATTTTAGAGAGATGGGAGATGCCCCGCAGATCCTGCTGCGCTCTTCGGTGGGTCAGAAGGGCTTGCCCCCCCCCACGCCCATCCGCTCGCAAGTGGCGTGGGGCAGTCCTTCTTTCCTTCCTTCCCACCTGCCTGAGTTCGTGTCTCTCCCTCGCTTTCTTTCGCCAGGGTTGTGGCGGGGAGTTACACACACTCTCTCGCTCTCTCCTCTCGGCTTAACGCGGGAGTCAAGTCCCCTTGCTTGCTGCAGGTCTTACGAGACGCCTGCCATAGCAGACCCCCCCGCGCGGTCCCGCGCAACCGGCTCTTGGGTTCGGCCTCCCCCGATACATTGATGAGAGTGCCCTCGGTGACATGATTGCCAGGCTTCTGGATGCAGTTCAGAACGATTGCATCCCTCTCTCTCTCTCTGCTTCCTCTTTCTCTCTCTCTCTCTCT